CGGTCCGTCGGGCGCGCCGAGCGGGGGCGTGCGCGGGGGCAGCGGGACGCGAGCCAGAGCGAGGGGCTCCGCCGCAGGCGCGGCTGGGGAGGGCCGCGCAGCAGAGAAAGCCCATGCGGGCGGTGCGGCGACCAGCAGCGCCGCTGCCTGGCAAGCATGAAAATGTGGAGGCGAAAGCAAGGTGAAAGCTTGCGGTTGCTAGGAGCAAGGGGCGCAGCTGTGCGCAGCCCATGCAGGTGGGATGATGGGGCGGCACCATCCGCGCAACAAATGGGTACTGACGGTCATGTGCAGCGTGTGCGCGCGGGCGGGCTGCAGGCGGGTCCGCGCCGATGCAGTCCAAGTCGCGGCGGTTTGACATGGTCCCATGCGCTGAATCAGCACGCGCTTCCCGCCGGGTCCGCTTAGGGCTTGCACCCTCACCGCTGCCGTGCCCACAGCTGTGGCCCCCTTGATAAAGCTATCACTCCATGGCTGCGCGTTGTCCGGCTCTTGGCATCGGCAGAGCAGCCCTGGCTGCGTCAGAGGCGGGTGCACCGCCGCAACCGTAGCGGAGCGCGAAGAGCGCGGCAGCCTGGTCGAACGCGGCAGCGCTGACGCATGTGCCTGCATGGTGTATTCCAACACCTTAACGCGTACGTTGTGTTTGCTAAGAGGCAAGGCGTGTTGCACAGAAAAGGATACAGGAAAGACCCACGCGACTCTCGAAGAGCTCGAGCCGGTACCGGTATGATATCATATGATCGAAGCCATGCAGCGTGACTATCAGCCTTGCCTATGAAAATCGTTTCGGAGCGCAATCAAGGTGACCCGAAACGGTCAGCTGGGTGACAAGCGGGTGCCCAAGATCACAAGCGACCAATTTACCCTTCAAGCGCGCGCTGTAACGTCACAATAGTACGGGTGTTGCTGGTGTCTGGACGCAGCACGCGTCGATCTCATCTCTGTTGCAAAGGGGGCTGCACTACTGTATTTATTGTGGCCCTGCAGGTGCCAAGGCAGCGGTTCATGCATATGGCAGGCCAGCCACCAACCTTGGCACTGGCGCTGGCAGTTGTGCTGCTGGTCGGCCCAGGCGCCAGGGCGAACGATGCTGCACTGCCCCCCGGGCCTTCCGCGCGCGCCCGCCCGCCGGCCCAGCGCCACAACGCCCTCGAGCGCGTGAACGTGGGCGCCACACGCCCCGACCCCGACCCCACCGTGCGGCTGTCTGTCAGCTCGACGAAGCTGAAGCGCAGCGGCCAGTGGTTCACCGTGGAATGGGCAAACGTGCCAAACCCTGACTGGGGCGACTGGGTGGCCCTCCTGCCGGCCTACGCCGACCCCATCTGGAGCGCGACGCCCTTCAAGTACGACATCGCGGGGAAGACGCCCTCCCACATCCGCCGCGGCAGCGGCAAGCTCAGGCGCGCGCGGGGCGCCGCGCGGCGGGCGCTCGCCTGTGTGGCCGCGACCGTTGGGCCGTCGCGCTCGCCGCCCACGCAGCTCCTCATGCGCGTGCCCGGGCACCATTCTCGCGGCCCACCCCCCAAATATGTCTCCGCCAATTTTGTGGAGGCCTGTTAGAGGCAATGCCGCGCAAGCTGTGCCTTGAACCACATCCCGCTTACACTGACGCACCTCGTCCGCTCGTTTACTCACGAGCGCGTGCCTCCCCACCCCACCCCCCCCTCCCCCACACTCACGCACGCACGCCACATCACACACACACACACACACTTACACACACACACACACACACACTTTTTCGTGCGCGTGCGCGCGCTTAATCCCCAGGTTCCGCCTGATCAGCTACCGCCAGGACGTCCGCTTCGCCTTCATGCGGGGCGGCCTCGTGGCGCCGCGCCTGGTCGCAGTCAGCGAGGTGCGGCCGCGCGCACCCGCGGCGCGGCGCCCGCCCCGCCCGCCCCGACGGGCGCGGCCGGGCGCATGGTTTGGGCAGCATGCGCAGCGCGGCGGGGAGCCAATCTCTGATGACTGAGCATCATGTGATACCACCATGGGGGTTGACGGCGCGCACTGTTTGACCCCGTAATGGTCAATGGGCGTGGCGGCGCCGTTTGACCGCACTCGACACGTGGCTCCCTGCTCCCCTCCCCCCCAGGTGATCCGCGTGATAAACCCCAACGAGCCGCTGCAGGGGCGCCTCGCGCTCACAGGCAACGGCCCCAGGTGCGCAGCGGCGCCTCCTCTCTCCTCCCCCCCCCCTCTCATGCGCCGGCTAGCGCGGGGACCGCGCCGCCGCCTGTTGGAGCCGCGTCTCGGGG